TTTTGTTTTTTATTTTAAGAAAGAGTCTTGCTAAAATGCCAAGTCTGGTCTGGAACTTGTGATTTTCCTGCTTTAGCTTCCTGGGTTGCTGGGATTACAGGTGTGTGCTACTACACCCGACTTATGATGAATCTGATTTTCTGTGGTTAGGGGTCTAGCTCAGTGATAGAGCCCTTGCCCAATGTGTGAGGCCCTGTGTTCTTTCTTCAGCACAGCAAAAAAATAAAAATTAAAAATTACAAATAAAACAGCAGTCATGTTGCAGTTGAATAAAGGAGTTTCTTGGGTGTCTAATTCTTGACTTTCATTTTCAGTGGAAAAAGGAACATGTGCTATTTTTGGTGCTGGGGATTGAACCTAGGGCTTTGTACATGATAAGTATGTGCTATACCACAGAGTTATACCCTCAGTTCCAAAATGGACTTTCCAGGCAAAATAAGAGCAGGCCCTGCTTGCTTCAGAAAAAAATTATTTCTGCCTAATTTGTGGGAAATTATTGGAATTAGTGAGATGATTTCTAAAGAGGAAGGGTATCTGAATGTTGACTTGAGGGACTCTAGCTTCAAATTTTGGGCTGCCTGAGCATGGCTCTATGAAACAGTGCTGTTTGTCAAGGCTTTGAGACAGTGGTTCAAGTGTCCCTTGAAGCTGTGGAGCAGGTGGTCTTTGAAATGATTTTTCTGTAGGTGGATGCCAGTATCATAGGAACCTGTGTGCTCCCTATTCTACTTTTTTTTGGGGGGGTACCAGGGATTGAACTCAGAGGCACTTGACCATTGAGCCATTGAGCCACATCCCCAGCTCTCTTTTGTATTTTATTTAGAGACAGGGTCTCACTGAGTTTCTAAGTACGTTACTTTTGCTGAGGCTGGCTTTGAACTCATGATCCTCCTGCCTCAGCTTTCTGAGCTGCTGGGATTACAGGCGTACGCCACCATACCCAGCCCTCCCTAAACTATTGTTAGATTATATGAACAAATAAAATCTGGCCCATGTCCCCCACTATTTTGAGAATTTAATGAAGAAGGAAAGTTGTTAGATAATAGAGCGCCTTGTTGGGTACGTTTCCTGAGGAAACAAGTATTAATGGGGCTGAAATCTGGAGGGAGAGAGGAATTAAGGGAAAAAATCCAAAAAAATCGTTTTTTTTTTTCTTTTGGCAGAGCTGGGGTGGAACTCAATGTCTCCTGCATGGTAGGCAAGAGCTCTATTGCTGAACTGTACATCCTTAGCCCCCCAAAACTTCACTTAACAGATGCTTGTGAATACTTTGTGTCAGCCAGTGAAGGTGGTACAAAGAGCTATGCACACCCTGAGTGTGCAGAAAGCAGTTTGATAAATGCTGTTTGTTGGGAATTAGGGGAATGATGAGTCTGAGGGCTTCAAGGTAGAGCTGTCTACAAGTTTTGGTCTAGAGGGAGCAGATGGTCTGCATGAAGAGGAAGACTCTATGTGTCCCGATATCACAGGGAAGCCTGGAGTTGCTCTGAGAGCTCTCAGTTAACATTGAGTTGAACAGGTGGCTAGATGTCTTTGTCAAGTCCCACAGGGTCTTAAGTCCTGCAAATGGTTGAACTTGATCCATGGGTAGCAGTTGTGACCTGCTTGGGACCATGGTATATCAATTCTGGCTTGGGCAAATTAATCTGGTGAACTGGGCTTCCACTTCTGGCTTAATCTCTTGGTGTGGATATCAGTTTCTTTATATTGTAAAAGAGTAATTAGCTGCTCGGCCTGGATCCAAGGTCATGTGCCAGCCTTATGGCACTACCACATCCAGAACATGATAGTCCTCATTTTGGCTGTTGAGTGCAGGGTAAACCATAGTCTTTGAAACAGGAAGTATTTCTGGAGAGCTTAGTCTGGGCAGCCACCAGTCTGAATGACTGATTTGTCACTCTCAGTTCACCTTGACAGTGGCCCTGTGAGGTTTGAAACAGCATTTCACTGATGAGAAACCTGGTTAGGCAGTAGCTGGGGGCCAACTTCAGGTGCTTGAGCTCATGCCACTGGATCAGGGTGAAGCCAGGGACTGCTGCAGCTGCTGCCACCCTGAGGAGGGCTGGGACCAGGAAACCAGGAGTGAGAACACCTCCTCTACAATTGGTTCCATGTTTACCACCACTGCCTCTGAGTAAATGCTTAACTGTTGCCTTTGTTGGAAGATCTGGGAGAAATGTTCTGGAGCATTTGGAATTATGAGTGTTTTAATAAAGGAGTCCTTGCTCTGGTGAGGATTAGATAGTTATGTTGGGCCATAAGCAAGTCCTTGTGTTTCTTCAGCTGCACCAGTTTTAATCTTTCAGTGCCTGTTCAGTGTGTTGTCTGGACCCCTAAATATGTGTGTTTAATTCCTGTTCTTTTTTTCTTTTTCAGTGCTATGGATTGAACCCAGGGCCTTGCCCATACTACTGCTGAGATATATCCCTAATTCTTTTTTATTTTGAGACAGGATCCTGCAAAGTTTTTGAGGCAAGCCTTAATCTTGAAATCCTCTTGCCTCAGTGTCCTGAGCCACTGGGGTTATAGGCATGTACTTCTATGCTTAGCTTATTTGTTTTTACTTATTAATTTTTGGTGATACTAGGGATTGAACTCAGATGTTCCACTATATAGCTATATCCTCAGCCATCTGTGTTTATTTTGAGGCAGATTCTCACTAAGTTGCTCAGGATCTTGTTAATCTGCTGAGTTTGGCCTCTAACTTGTGATCCTTAACTTCCTCAACTTCCTGAGTTGCTAGGACTATAGGCATGCACCACCATGCCTGGATCCCAGGAATAAACATTTTTATTTATTTATTTTTTGAGATGGAATCTTGCTAAGTTTACCCATGCTGGCCTTGAACTTGTAATCCTCCTGCATCATTATTCTGATCTTTGGGGGTGGGTGGGGGGTACCAGGGATTGAACTCAGGGGCACTTGATTCCTGAGCCTCATCCCCAGCCCTATTTTGTATTTTATTTAAAGACAGGATCTCACTGAGTTGCTTAGGCTGGCTTTGAACTCATGACCCTCCTATCTCAGCCTCCTGAGTGGCTGGGATTACAGGCATGCTCCAGTGCTCCTGGCTGGATTTTTTTTTTTTTGTTTTTTTATACGGGGGTATTGAATCCAGGGGTGCTTTACTACTGCGCTATATCTTTGTGTCTGTCTGTATATATGTATGTTTATCTATCTGTCTATCTATGTATCTATCTATTTTGAGATAGGGTCTCATTAAGTTGCTGAGGCTGGCCTCAAACTTGTGATCTTTCTGTTTCAGTCCTGATTTGCTGTGATTGTAGGTGTGTGCTACCCTGTTTGGCTAGAATAAACTTTAAAAAAAAATTTTTTTTAAACATTTTTAGTTGTCAGTAGACCTTTATTTATTTATATGTGGTACTAAGAATTGAACCCAGTGCCTCACACATGCTAGGCAAGCTCTCTACCACTGTGTGACAACCCCAGCCCCAAGAATAAACTTTTTAAAATTTTTATTTATTTTATTTTTAGTTGTAGATGGATACAACACCTCTATTTATTTTTTTTGTGGTGCTGAGGATGGAACCTAGTGTCTCATGCGTTCTAGGCGAGTGCTCTCTTGCTGAACCACAACTCCAGCCTCTAGGATAAACTTTTTTAAATGCTCTGCCTGGGTAGTTTCAAATGTGTGGCCAGGATTTAGAGTCACTGCTCCAGAGGGTAGCAGAACTTGCGCCCTTCACTGAAGTAAGAATCTTAAGGTTTGGATTGTGACTCAGTGGTAGAGTATTTCCATAGCATGAGTGAGGCCCTAGGTTCAATCTAGAGTGACCAGAGTCAGCCAGGAACCAGGAGCCTGGGACAGTGCTGGTGGGAGTGGAGAAATACTAGTGAAAAGAGGAGCCTAGGCGGTAAGGAGAGGGATACAGGAACCAGTACTCACTCTGACAGGTCTTTGATCTATTTTTGAATTTAATTGTAAAAGTGGGTCTTGACATACATCACCATAGTGACAGTGTATTCATCTCCCAGGGAAGGCCAAAGGAGAGCAGGTATCTGCCAAAATCCTCCCCATCTTCCTCCCAGTGCCCTTGAATGGACAGGCTGTCTAGGAAGTAGAGATCTTGCTCTTAGACCTTGGCTTTCCCAGATTGGTGCTGACCTTACCTGCCTTCATCCTGGCCAGCCCTTGCCATCCAGGACCCAGGTGAAATAGACCCTGTCTCAGGCTCAGGGAGCTTTCCACTTAGACTAGTAGGGAAAGTTTTTATTGAGAAACAGAACTTTATGTAATTTTTCATCAGACTTGATTGTCTAAGAGCAAACATTTTCATTTTATGGTGTTCTTCATTTGTGTAAAGATTGAAACAATAATGGAAAGGAATTGCAGTTAAAGAGTGGATGAATTGGCTGTGGGCATGGTGGTGCATGCCTGTAATCCCAAGGGCTGAGGAGGATTTCAAGTTTGAGGCCAGTCTCAGCAATTTTAGCAAGGCATTAAGCAACTTAGTGAGACCCTATCTCAAAATAAAAAAGAACTGGGGGTACTGAGGTTGTGGCTCAGTGGTAGAGCGCTTTCCTAGCACATGTGAGACACTGGGTTCATTCCTCAGCACCACATAAAAATAAATAAAATAAAGGTATTGTGTCTATCTACAACTAAAAAAAAAAAGGACTGGGGATATACTTCAGTGGTAAAGTATCTCTGGGTTCAATCCCCAGTTACTTCCCACCCTGGGGGGAAAAAAAACACATTAAAAAATATGATTCTTATTGCATGTTTCTTTGTTAGACCAAAGTGCTTATGAAAAAAAGGAAAAGTAATTATTGTAGAAATAGTAGTTGTTTCTTTGATGTATTTATCATTGTCTTTCATCTAAAGAGTAAAACAGATATGGAGTATCATTAATTTGCCACTTGCCAAGTTATCTCTATTCATGCCGTTGTAGCTGGTATTATTTTATTCTGCATTTGCTTAGAAAATAAGACTCTGAGGGTAGACTTAGACTTAATGTAGGAAGTAATAAAAACAAATCTTGTTGGCAGAAAATTTTACTATTGCTGTTTATACTTGTACCCACTGCTCAGGAGGGCTGGGATCCTTGTTAGTCTTTGACTCCTTGACTGTTCTGTCCTCAGCAGACAACCATGCCTCAGGACTGTAGCTTTCCTGTTGAGGCATATATGAAGTTCAAACATGTTCACTTGCCTTCAGAATGTTTTGGAAATGATTGAATGCCAGCTGTGTCCAGGCCTGCAATAAGTGCCATGCACCAATCATTTGCTGGCTTTGGAGCCCAGTCACTGTGCTTGGTGTTGTATCACCTAGCAGGACATGCGAAACAGGGAAGTAATCAGAACAGGTGCACATGGGTTATCTTTGAAGTGCTGATGATGCCTGTGCAGATGAAGGCCTTGTTACTTCCCTGGCTTTATGGTCAGTGTTCAATTTAATACTTAGGGGCTGGTAGCATAGCTCTGTGGTAGAGTGCTTGCCTGCCATGTGCAAGGACTTGGGTTTGATTCATAGCATTGGAAAAAATAATGTAACACTAATCAATCTATAAGAACAAAAGATACCTGAGATCTTTAGATGAATTGTAAGTAATATGAAAATTAGATTTGTAAACTTTTTAGCATCATAGGACACCCACCTCCCCCGCCCCAAACACACACACACACACACACACACACACACACACACACACACCATAAGCTGCTACACTAGTCCTTAAGAGTGTGAGGAAGTAGAAACTCTGGGGTCAGGTGTGTGCTGGGAAACTTCCTGTTTCTTAGCTTTTCTTCATGTGTCCTTTCTGTAAGTCTAGAGTGACTTTTTTTGGGACATCTTTGTGGATTAGTTTATAGAGAGGGCTTGATTTAAAAACAAAACAAAACAAACAAAAAAAACCCAAAAACAGATTCTCCACAAATTCTACTGGCAACTGGTGAATGTTCTATATTTTTAGTTCCTTGTTCCAAAGAAGTCTGGATTTTCGTCCAAGCATTTGCTGAAAATGGCAGGTAATTGTCTAAGGCTGGCAGAATACTGGAGGGCTGCTCCCTCTCTTGGGAACAGAAGCATTTCAGAGGAGCGTGTGGCTCTCTATTTGCCCTTCCCCTTTACTTCTGAGGCAGATTAGTGGGGAAGATAATAACAGTTAGATCTGGGAGCAGTGCTACAGAGGACTGCAGTTTTTGTAGCCATTTTCTGAGCCAGTAAGAAATGTCTCAAGCCCACCATGTCCCATTGCCTTAGGATAAATAACTTGGCCCTGTTGGCCACTGTTCTATTTATTTCTACATCTTTTATTCCCCCACCCCACAAAAATATGTGGGGTGGGGGGATAAAAGAAATAATAAAATAAAAAGGAATAAGTATACGGAGTGATAGAGGCCAAATCCTATTTTATCAGATAAATTCTACATCCTCTTATCAGGGAAGTTCTAAGCAGGTAGGGCAGTGACTTTCCCCCATGGTTCTGTGAGGAGTCAGCTTGTTTAGAGGACCATGTTATTAAGAAATTCTCAGAGTCATCTTTAGCATGAGATAAATGGAAAGAAATTCTTGGTTAGGTTTATTCATAAGACCATAGAACTTAAGATTTAAGTTTTACCAGATGGGGCTAGGGTTGTAGCTCAGTGGTAGAGTGCTTGCCCAGCACATGTGAGGCACCTGGTTTGATCCTCAGCACTACATAAAAATTAATAAATAAAGGTATTGTGTCCATTTACATCTAAAAAATATTTTAAAAAATACATATGTCAAATGTGGATGATTTAAGGGGCTGGGGCTGTAGCTCAGTGGTAGAGCACTTGCCTAGCATGTGTGAGGCACTGGGTTCAATCCTCAGCACCACATAAAAATAAGTAAAATAAAGGTGTTGTGTTCATCTACATTTAAAAAAAATATTTAAAAAATATGGATGATTTAAAAAAAAATTTAACCAGAAATGCAGCAAGAAGACATAAAATCAATTTTCCATTTACAAAAAAGTTTCTTTAATTAGCTGCTTGTACACATATCAGTTTGCATAGAGACTGGGAGAAATTCTGCAGGGTGATTATGTGCTCACCTAAGAAGCTAATTGAAGATTTTGTGATAAATGAAGATAAAGAATCTGAAGAATTAAGCTGTGGGCTGGTGGGGTACATCCATGCCTGATAGTTGCTCAGGTTGGAAATTCAAAAGACCCCAAGACCATAGGAAAAAGAAAACACCATCCATACATCAGTAGATTGGGGCCACCACTGAAAATTGCTTTGTAGCTGCAGCTGCAAAGTATTTGGGAACATGTAAATTATAGCGCACGATTTTGATAAAATAGATCTCTTGCATTATCATTCCCTTATTCCTTTTTGCCTTTAGTTTTTAATCCTTGGGTTCTTAAATACAACAATTAATTTATAAATAATTACTACAGAGTGGAAGTCCACTTGTGTTAAGGGAATGATCAAATATGGCAAAAAGGGAAAGTGGAGACAAGTAGGAGGTGAGAACAAAGGTTTCTTCATGCTAACCTAGGTATAAATCCAGTATGGCAGACAGCATTGTCCTGTGGTTGTCCTGTGGCTTTGAGGGAAGAGGAAAGCACTTGGGTGTTCTCAGTGTTATTTAGCCTAGAAGTGCCTAAGTGTACATACTTTTCTAGATATGTGCTGTGCCCCTTAATGAGCAGGTCAGTATCTTTTGCTGGGGAAGGCTAGCAGCATGGAGGTTGCAGGGCCTGACCAAGGAGTCTTGCCATCACCAGTTTACTGGGAAGTGGTGTTCTTAGGTAGCTCTAGGAAAACCTATTCTGAAGTCAGACATAGCAGACATCCCAGTTTTGCTCACCGTTGGTCTGGCTCACCACTTTAATAACTGGTCATAGAGTCACCATAGCTCTACAGAACAGGGATTCTAGGAGTCTGCAAGATATCAAATGTTCCAGCATTTGAAAGTATACACCTAATACTACCAGAGTAGTTTGTTCAGGATTTGCAGCTGTGGCAAGATTGAAGCAGGTTGAAGGGCCAGTTAGTGCCATCTGAGGGAGAGAAGGAATTCTGCTAGCAAGAAATCCTGAGCCAAGGCAGTGGTGATCGTTTTGTCCTTTTTTTTTTTTTTTGTAGTTGTAGATGGACAGAATGCCTTTATTTTATTTGTTAATTTTTATGTGGTGCTGAGGATCAAACCCAATGCCTCACATGTGCTAGGCAAGCACTTTGCCACTGAGCTATAGCCCCAGCCCTGTTTTTTTAATTTTTTAATTTTTTTTGCTGTACAGGGGTTTAACTCAGGGGCACATAACCACTAAGCCACATCTCCAGTCCTTTTTATTTTTCATTTTGAGATAGGCTCTTGCCAAACTGCTTAGAGCCTTGCTAAGTTGCTTAAACTGCTCTCAAACTTATGATCCTGCTGCCTCAGCCTCTTGAGTCACTGGGATCACAGGCTTGTGCTACCATGCCTAGCTCCCCAGTCATTTTTTATTTAGTTAGTTTTTGAGACAAGGTCTTGCTAAGTTGGGAGGCTGGCCTCAAACTTTCAGTCCTGCCTCAGCCTCCCTAATTACCTGGGATTTGGAGGCATGTATCACTATGCATGGCTTGTCTTGTTCTTTAGTAAACAAGGTATGTTGATCTAATTTCTGGCAAGAAAGAAATGTTCTTAATGGTCAAACTTTTAAGAATGTGGCCCAAAAAAGAATGTGACTGAAAGCAAGTCCCAGCTTTAAACACTGAAAGTTGGAAGTATTTGTTTTTGTTTTAATTTTGGGGGGGGGGGTAGTTGTATATGGATAGCATGCCTTTATTTATTTTTCTGTGATGCTAAGGATTGAACTCAGTGCCTCACACATGCTAGGCAAGCACTCTACCACTGAGCTACACAGCCCCAGCCCTGAAATATTTGTTTAAACACACCTTATAGTGAACTTGCAAAAACTTCCAGTCACCAGGGGCTGGGACAGTGTTGTTTAACTCTTGAGGCATTGGGCTCTGGGTCCCACTCATACATTTTAAGACTGCTGGCAGGGTCAACCACTCAGTTAAATGGGAGCAGAGCAGAACAGGGAGCTGGGGGTGACTGAGGCCATGCTGACATTTCATCTCATTTTTCTGCTTTGGAGTTTGATTAGGTTAGGAAGGCCAGCACCCAGCACACTTTTACCAAACTTAATTCATTAAAGCCAGATTAGCGGGCTGGGATGTAGCTCAGTGGCAAAGCATCTGCCTTGCATTCGTGAAGCCCTGGGTTCGACCCCCAGTTCCAAAAAAGGCAAAAAAAAAAAAAAACAACCCCAAAAAAATAATAATAATAATAATAAGATTAAAAAAAAAAACAAACAAACCAACCTTTGGCTGGGGATATAGCTCAGTGGGTAGAGTGCTTGCCTCACATGCACAAAGCCCTGGGTTCAATCCCCAGCACTGCCAAAAAAAAAAAAATTATAAAGCCAGATTAGCATACTAGTTTAGAGTTGTGGCACTGATATTTTTTTCTTTTGTAGTGTAATAGAAAAAATAGAAAACTCAGCTTTTAACTTGAAAATATGAAATAAGGTGGTCATAGCCTTTATTCTTTTCTTTGTACTGTGCAGAAGTCTGCCAAATACCTGCTCTGTGCCAATAACCTGGTTGGGGAGAGAACAACAGAGTAAATGCTGTCAAGACCTGGGCAGTGGGTCTTTCCTCCCTCTTTTCCTCTCAGGGCAGCGATCATCATCACCTTTTACTGCAACAGATATTGATCATCCTGCCTCACAGTGTAGCCTCACTTTCTTTGTCTGAATTGGGGAGAAGGGGATAACGAGGTGGAGCTTGGTAAGTCAGAAAACAAATTTTAATTTCCAATAAGTACTTACTAGAAAATGCCTGTTTAAATTGTAATGCATTCTGCTGTCGTATATAAATAAAAAAATAATTAAAAAAAAAGAAAATGCCTGTTTATAATATATTAGTCTTAAGTACAGTTGTGGGTCACTTAATGGGGTTCATTCTGAGAAATGTGTTAAGAGTTTTGTTATGTGAACATTATAAAGTATACTTATGCGGGCTGGGGATGTGGCTCAAGTGGTAGTGCGCTCGCCTGGCATGTGTGCGGCCCGGGTTCGATCCTCAGCACCACATACAAATAAAGATGTTGTGTCCGCCGAAAACTAAAAAATAAATATTAAAAATTCTCTCTCTATCTTTCTCTCTCTCACACTCTCTCTTTAAAAAAAAAAATAAAGTGTACTTATGCAGAACTAGATGGTATAGCCTTGTACTTCTAGGTTATCTGATACAGCTTATTGCTCCCAGACTACAGACTTGTGCAGCATGTCACTGTACCAAATACTATAGGCTATTGAAGCACATTTGTGTGTATTTAATCATATAAAAGGTACAATAGAAATACCAAATGAAACATTAAAAGAAGAGCCAGGTGTGTTAGTGCATGCCTATAATCCCAGTGACTTGGGAAGCTGAGGCAGAGAATTGCAAGTTTGACATCAGCCTCTGCATCTTAGACTTTAACTCAAAATTAAAAAAAAAAAAAAGAAAAGAAAAAAAAAAAAAAAA